TTTTTCCCTTTTTTTTCCATGAATTTTGGGGTTTTCCCCATGAATTTTGTTTTTTTTTGGCAGGGTGTCATGGTGGTGTTGGCTCGTCCATCAGGGTTTTGGTGGCCTGGGCCTGGTGGCACCACAAACTATGAGAAGCTCAGCTGCGCCCTCAGTTCAGCCAAATTTGGGGTTTTCCACTTTTTTTCCCATGAATTTTGGGATCTTTTTGCCTTTTTTTCCCATTAATTTTGGGGGTTTTTTTCCTCGTGAATTTTGGGGTTTTAGGTGGGATGTCGTGCTGGTGTTTGCTCATCCCTCAGGGTTTGGGGTTGGGGTGTGGTTTAAGGTCCTTTTCCACCCCAAAAATATCCCAGGATTCCATCAGGTGGGATTTTAGGGATGAATCTCTCCCTGCTCTGGGTGATTCCAATGGATTTCCCATCCCTGGGAATGCCCAATTCCAGCTTGGAGCCACCTGGGGAGGTGGGAGCTGCCCCAGCCCTGCATTTTTAAGGATATTTGAGCAGGAAATTAGGAAGGAATTCCTCAGGAATTCTGGATTTTTCAGGATATTTGAGCTCATTCCAAACCAAACCATCCCAGAATTCCATATTTTGGTTAAACAGGATATTAGGAAGGATCCCTGAGGAATTAGGAAGAAATTCTGGATTTTTGAGTGCTTCGATCCATTGTTTGTTTTTTTTTTCCCCATTTAAAAAAACCAATTTATTTGCAGATATTACTACAACAAGAGGATCCTGCACAAGACCAAGGGCAAAAGATTCACCTACAAATTCAACTTCAACAAACTGGTGATGCCCAATTATCCCTTCATCAACATCCGGCCCAACGGTGAGCCTCAGGAATTTGGGAATTCCGGGTGGGAATGGGGCAGAAAAACTAAAAAAAAAACCCAACCCGAGGATGTGGAATATTGTTTTTTCCCCAGCCAGCCTGGATAAAATAAAAAAAGCAAAACCTGGGAGCAAATCCCCGCTGTGGAGGGGGATGAGGGGTCGGGTTTATCTTTCCCCGGGGATTTTTGGGATTTGTGGGATAAGAGGATCAGCCTCGGGATGCAGTCCTGGGGTGGCTCAGGTGAGTTTATGGTGTAAAAATCCACGGCTTTTTCTCCCTTCTCTCCCCCTTTTTCCCCGCTCCTTTTCACCCCAAAATTGCAGGTTTTTAACCCATTCCTGCCCCAGGGTTGGGAGGGATTCCGTAGGGACGCGGCAGGAATTCCTTGGATTTTGGTTAAAAATCAGAAATTCTTCCCTGGAGGAGAGAGGATAACAAGGAAGGGTTTGGGAATGGAGCATAAATGTCCCTTTTTTACCCTAAAATGGTTCTGCCAGGTTTATCCTGGAATCAGCAGCGGTTTCCTGGGAAAAGGGTCTTTCCAAGGGGATTTTTAAAGGAATTAAACCTCTAAGAGCCAAATTCCCACAGCTGAGGGATTGTCCTCATCAGGCACAGTGGGAAAATGAATCCATAAAAACAGAAAACCCCTCTGGAAGTCAATATTCCCAGAAATTCCAAACTTTTCTCCTCACAAAATCTCAATTTAGAGGAGCCGGGCCTAGCAGGAGCTGCTCCAGTGGAAAGCCTGGATGGCAAATCCAGCAGGAAAAAAAGCAGGAAAAGTGGGGAAATTGGTGATTATTTAATTCAAAAAGATAGAAAACCCCTCTGGAAGTTGATATTCCCAAAAATTCCAAACTTTTCTCCTCACAAAATCTCAATTTAGAGGAGCTGGGCCTAGCACGAGCTGCTCCAAGGGGAAAGTGTGGAGCCCCAATCCAGCAGGAAAAAAAAAACAGGAAAAGTGGGAAAATTGGGGATCATTGAATCTAAAAAGATAGAAAAACCGCTTGGAAGTTGATATTCCCAGAAATTCCAAACTTTTCTCCTCACAAAATCTCAATTTAGAGTTGACCAGCCCGGCACACTCTGCTGCAGGGCAAAGCCTGGAAAGCCAATGCAGCAGGGATCAAAACAGGAAAAAAAGCAGAAAAAGTGGGGAAATTGGTGATTATTGAATCCATGAAGATACAAAACCCCTCTGGAAGTTGATATTCCCAAAAATTCCAAACTTTTCTCCACAAAAAGTATAAATTTAGAGTAGCTGGGCCTAGCAAGAACTGCTCCAGGGGAAAGTGTGGAGCACCAATCCCGTAGGAAAAAAACAGGAAAAAATTGGGAAACTGGTGATTATTTTAATTTAAAAAGATAGAAAAACCCTCTGGAAGTTGATATTCCCAGAAATTCCAAACTTTTCTCCTCACAAATTCTCAATTTAGAGGAGCTGGGCCTAGCATGAGCTGCTCCAGGGGAAAGTGTGGAGCTCCAGTCCAGCAGGAAAAATGGTGATTGTTGAATCCATAAAGATAAAAAAACTGCCTGCAACTCGTTGTTCCCAAAAATCCCAAACTTTTCTCCACAGAAAAGTCCTGATTTGGAGGGTCCTGATCCAGCTTCCAGGGCAAAGCCTGGAACAGCGATCCAGGAGGGAAAAAAGCAGGGAAAATAGGGATAAAAGCAGGGAAAATAGGGATAAAAGCAGGGAAAATAGGAATAAAATCAGGTTCTGTGTGAGGGAAAAAGGGATTTTTCCAGGCTCCGGCGCCGCCGCCTCCCCTCCCTGAGGGAATCTCCGAGGTTTTGTTTTTCCAAGGCTCCGGGAAGGCCAAAAAACAAAAACAAAAAGAGAGAAATTCCTCCAGGTGTTGGTGTCTCCTTCACCTGTGTGGGCCCTGCTGGGGTTTGTTTTATTTTCTCTTTTTTGTTTGTTGGGAGAGGGGAATGTCTTTTCCAAGCCAAGGAACGGGGGTGGGAAGATGTGTCTGGAGCTGTAATTCCGTAATTAACTGGGAGCAAACGAGTCCGGGCAGTTCCCAGCTCCTGCTCCCTCCTGGCCCTGGGGCGCTGGGGAACAAAAATAATTTGGGAGAATTTGGAAGGCTCCTGGTTAATCCCAGCCCCTCTCATTCCCACCCCCGTGGGGGTTGGGGTAGCAAACCTGGAATTTGGGGTTTTTCTCCAGGATTTCCCCTCCCTCACCGAGATTTTGGGTGGGAATTTGAGGGATTTGGGTGGGAATTTGAGATATTTCTGTGGATCTTTGAGATATTTCCATGGATTGATGAGATTTCCCCCCTCAGAAGTCAGATTTTGATGAATATCCAGGTATTTCCATGGATATTTGGGATATTATCCAGGTATTTCCATGGATATTTGGGATATTTGAGACATTTCCATGGATTGATGACATTCCCCCTCAGAGAAGATGTTTCCATGGACATTGGAGATATTTCCATGGATTTTTGAGATATTTTTATGGACGTTGGGAGACATTTCCATGGATTGATGAGATCCCCTCTCAGATGAGATATTTCCATTGATATTTGGGTCTTTTCCACGGGTATTTGAGACATTTCCATGGATATTTGAGGTTTTTGCATGGCTTTTTCAGCCATTCCCCCAGATATTTCAGCCATTTCCATGGATATTTGAGGTTTTTCCATGGATATTTCAGACATTTCCATGGACATTTGAGTTTTTTCCATGGATATTTCAGCCATTTCCATGGACATTTGAGTTTTTTCCATGGATATTTCAGCCATTTCCATGGATATTTGAGTTCTTTCCATGGACATTTCAGCCACTTCCATGGACATTCGAGTTTTTTCCGTGGATATTTAATTTCTCTCCATGGATATTTCAGCCATTCCTGCAGATATTTCAGCCATTTCCATGGACATTTGAGTTTTTTCCATGGATATTTCAGCCATTTCCATGGACATTTGAGTTTTTTTCCATGGGTATTTCAGCCATTTCCATGGACATTTGAGGTTTTTCCACGGATATTTCAGCCATTTCCATGGACATTTGAGTTTTTTTCCATGGATATTTCAGCCATTTCCATGGACATTTGAGTTTTTCCCATGGATATTTAATTTCTCTCCATGGATATTTCAGCCATTCCTGCAGATATTTCAGCCATTTCCGTGGACATTTGAGGTTTTTCCACGGATATTTCAGCCATTTCCATGGACATTTGAGTTTTTTCCCTGGACATTTGATTTTTTTCCCATGGATATTTCAGCCATTTCCATGGACATTTGAGTTTTTCCCATGGATATTTAATTTCTCTCCATGGACATTTCAGCCATTTCCATGGACATTGGAGTTTTCCCTGTGGACATTTAATGTTTTCCCCCAGATATTTCAGCCATTTCCATGGACATTTGAGTTTTTCCCATGGATATTTAATTTCTCTCCATGGATATTTCAGCCATTTCCATGGACATTGGAGTTTTTTCCATGGACATTTCAGCCATTTCCATGGATATTTCAGCCATTTCCATGGACATTTCAGCCATTTCCATGGACATTGGAGTTTCCCCCGTGGACATTTAATGTTTTCCCCCAGATATTTCAGCCATTCCCATTACTGGATGCGAGCCCGGCTCGGCTCAGAGCTTCAGCCGGACATCTCAAAGCCTCCCCGCCATCCCCAGGGATTTCATCCAGCTCCTCCCCGATCCCCAGACGCTCAGTGCCTGTTTTCCCCGTCTCCCCGCAGGCGTGGTCCCGCAGAGCGCGCCGCCGGTGCCCACGGCCTCGTCCCGCTTCCACTTCCCGCCGCTGGAGCCGGCGTCGCCGGGCGAGGAGGCGGCGGCGCGCTTCGGGCCGGGCGCGCTGCTGCCGCCGCCGCGCGCCGAGGCGCCGCCGGACGCCGAGAGGAAGCCGGAGCCCGCCGAGCCGGAGGAGAGCGGGCCGGACTGGCGCCGGGAGCTGCTGGCGCCGGCGCACGCGGCGGCCGGCGGCGCGGCGCCCAAGCGCAAGCCCGAGGTGGTGCTGCCGCTGTTCCCGCGGCCCGGCGTGTTCCCCGAGCACCCGCACAGCCCCTTCGCCGCGTCGCCGCTGCCGGGCCGCCCCGGCGTGCTCAACGTGCCCATCTCGCCGGCGCTGTCGCTGACGCCCACGCTCTTCTCCTACAGCCCCTCGCCGGGGCTCAGCCCCTTCGCCGCCGCCGGCAGCAGCTGCTTCTCCTTCAACCCCGAGGAGATGAAGCACTACCTGCACTCGCAGGCCTGCTCCGTCTTCAACTACCACCTGAGCCCGCGGACGTTCCCCCGCTACCCGCTGGTGGTGCCGCCGCTGCAGTGCCCGGTGCCGCTGGAGGAGCCGCCGCAGTTCCCCATCAAGCTGCAGCCGCCGCCCGCCGGCCGCAAGAACCGCGAGCGCCTGGAGAGCCCCGAGGCCGCCGGCCCGCCGCGCGTCAAGGTGGAGCCGGCGGCGCCCGACAGGGAGGACGAGGAGGAGGTCCCGCGGAAGGAGGAGGAGGAGGAGGAGGAGGAGGAGGAGGAGAAGGCGGCGGTGTTCGCCCGCCCGGCGGCCCCGGCGCGGGCGCCCGGCGCGGCTCAGCCCGGCGCGTGCGGAGAGGAGAGCGCCGAGAAGGCGCCGCGGGAGTGGCCCGGCGAGGCCGGCGGCCAGGAGCGCCGGGAGGACGCCCTGATGCCGCCCAAGCTGCGGCTGAAGCGCCGCTGGAACGGAGATTCCCGGCAGGAAGCGGCCGAGGATTCCCGGCCCAACGGGGTCTGGCACCTGCCCAAAGCCGTGGCCGCCGCCTCCGACACCTAAAGGCGGCCGGAGCGCCGGAGCCGGCCGGAGCGGCGTCCGTGTATTTATGTAGCAAGGTTGCCGAGCAGTTCGGGGTCCGGGCGGGGAGGGGGGCGGGCCAGGCCTGGGAATTTTTAGGGAATTTCGGGGGTGGGAGAAGGGAGGGGGGTGCGGGAAGCTTCGGGCTTTGTGTTGTTTCTGTTGTTGACTTGCAGGTGCAGACGCCGCAATTCCCGCTCGCTTTTCCCGGGAAAAGCCGGCTCCAGCTCCAGGACTGGCGCGGAGGAATTCCAGGCGCGGCCTCGGAGCCGCTCCCGGGCCTTTTGGGACACCGGGAATCTCCAGATCCGAGGACGGGGGGGATTTTTTTGGGATTTTTCGGGGTTTTTTTACGGATGCGAGGTTTTCCCGGCCATCCAGGAGCTGGTTTGGTTCTTCTTTTTTTTTTTTGTTTTGGTTTTTTTTGGTTTTTTTTTTTGGGAAAAGGAGGAGCTTGGGAATTTTGCATCGGGAATTTTGCACTGTCCACGGAGCGGGGCTGGGGCGGGGGGGGAAAAGGATTCAGGAAAACTCTCGGAGAATCGGGATGGAGGCCGCGTCGTTCCCGGCGGATTTCCGGGGAAAATTCCCCTTTTCCCGCCTTTCTTTCTCTCTCTCTTTCTCTCGCAGAAGCCATGAGCAAAACTCCAAACTTTTTCAGGGAATGGGAACGGGAATAACACAAAATTAACCGGATGCCTTTAATCCTAACGCATTAAAAATGTTGGGGTTTGGTTTTTTTTGTTTCTGTGTGCCCGGAGCGGGGATTTTTTTCCCGCTCTGGAATCCGTGTGGGTGGAATTTTTGGGAATGCTTGGAAGGAGCGCTGGAATGATTGTGGTGAGTCCCGGGAACGCCGGAATTCCCGGCGCCATTCCCAGATTTTTGGACCCTCCCCCCCATTTTTCTCCCCGTTTGACTCATGCCTTAAAGAAAAAAAAAAAACAAAAACCAACAAACCACGTTTGGACTTTTTCTGGGAATTTTTTCCGGGAGCGCTCGGATGTCGTGGATCCTTCCTGGTTCTTGGGGGGAAATCCCAAACGCCGCCGTTCCCCCGCGCAGCAGCGGAATTCCGAAGGCTCCGGCTTGGCTCCCAGCGGGATCGACCCTCGGGAAGCGCCGGGAGCTGCCCAGGATTCGCTCTCGGAGCTCGGATTTTGGGAATTCCGGGCTGGGGGAGGAAATTCCCCGCCGGGATCCCGGGAGCGATTCCCAGATCCCAGCCCGGCCGGGCGTGGGACCCTTGGAATGTGGAGTTGGGGTGGAGAAGCCCTGGATGATCCCAAAAAACGCGACCGGAGAGGCGCCAGGACGAACTCAGGAATCACACGAGGGGCCTTGCCCGGAATTCCCGCCGATCCCAAATCCCAGCGCCGGAACCGTCGGGAGAAACAAAAACAAAAAACGGGGGGAAAATCCCGGATTTTCCCCACCCCTCCTCTCCAGTCCTTTGGAATCGGAATCCCACGGGAAGAGAAGGAACAAAAAAAAAAAAAAAAAAAAAAAGTTGGAATTTTTGTGGCTTTAGAAAAGGATTTTTTGGGATTGGGAGTTTTTTGGGAAGGGTGGGAATGTCGGGGTTTCCTGTCACAGCCATTGCACTGCAAAAAAGAAAACCAAGATGAAAAGTGGAAATGAAAATAAAAAACTTGGGAGAGTTCAGGGAATTCCGGACTCAGGACGACGGATCCGGCGCCTCTCGGGAATTCCAGAATTCCCAACGGAGCCCGGGAGGAGGAAAAACAACGAAAAAAAAAGCAGGAAGAGGAGAAGGAAAAGGTAAAAAAAAAAAACAAAACAAAACAAAACAAACGGATTTAAAGGAAAAAAACCAAAACAACCAGATCAAAATTTTGTGGAAAAAAATCGGAAGTTTCAAGGAAAAATTCCTAAAATTCCACCGTGCCAAACCATTGAACAACAAACAAACCCTCGGGAAGTTGGGAATGGTTGGAATTCTCTCCCGGATGAATTTGCCCCGGAGCATGATCCCGTTTTTTCCAGCAGTTCTTTTTTTTTTTT